TGGCTATTTTTTGGTTGCAGCCGTCATTGTTGTTTGGCGGGTCCGGGCTGGGGATTCGAACCCGCCACCTTAGGTGTACGTGGCTGGCGTCTTAGCTGGTTGAGCTATAGGCGCCGAGCCTATTTTTTCTTTTTTTAACTTATTTTTTATCATGTCAGTTGACATAAGTGATTTTGATCACTTCTATAATGATAAGACATTTCTCACATTTTTTAGTAGGAAACTAAAAATGTGAGAAAATGATAAATGAGGAAAACAAAATTATCATTCCACAAAGCTGAAATAATCAGTTTTTCTTAGTGTCTTTCTCGTATACATATTTTAGTATATTACATATTCAAAACATTCATTGTAGAAAAAAGAAAATAAAACTAAAAATTAACCTTAATCCTACCACTTGGTAGTAATCATTTGGTGTACATATACACATTCCCTTGATAGCAATTAGGATTATGTCTATTCTATTATTTTCTTTACCATTATAATAGGAGCATTTTCTCAGGTCAGTGATAATTATTTAAAAATTTCACTTTTGGGTGGTGCCTGTGGCTCAGTGGGTAGGGCGCTGGCCCCATATACCAAGGGTGATGGGATCAAACCTGGCCCTGGCCAAACTGCAACAACAACAACAAAAATAACTGAGCATTGTGGCGGGTGCCTGTAGTCCCGGCTACTTAGGAGGCTGAGGCAAGAGAATCGCTTAAGCCCAAGAGCTGGAGGTTGCTATGAGCTGTGACATCACAGCACTCTACCGAGGGCAACAAAATGAAACTCTGTCTCTAAAAAAATTCGCTTTTAGTGGTGGCATTATATTACATTTTCTAAAATCCCAAAACTTCATTCATTTACCCTTTCCCCATCAATAGATGTGTTAGTTTCCAGTTTTTCACTAATTCAAATAGTGATGTAATTAACTTTTTTTGAATAAATTTTTCCATGTCTCTTATTTCATGTAAAGTCTTATAAATAGAATTATTGACCATTTTTATTTTGTTTTGTCATTGAGACAGAGTCTGACTCAGTGGCCTTGGGTAGAGTGCCATGCCATCATCATAGCTCATGGTAACCTCAATCTTTTTGTTGAGAGAGAACTTCCTGCTTCAGCCTCCCAAGTAGCTGGGATTACAAGCATGCACTACCACACCCACCTAGTTGTTCTGTTTTTTTAGAGGTGGGATTTTGCTCTTGTTTAGGCAGGTTTCAAAACTCCTGAGCTCAAGCAATCCACCTGCCTCAGCCTCCTAGGTTTACTAGTATTATAGTCGTGAGCTACCATGCTAGCCTATTAAGTCTTTTTTTTTTTTTTTTTTTGCGACAGTCTCACTGTGTCACCCTGGTTGGAGTGCCTCCTGAATAGCTGGGAGGACGACAGGCATGCGTCTGTGTGCCTGGCTAGTTTTTCTGTTCTTAG